GTTAAAGTCTAATATTTTGGAATTTACTTTAATGTTTATACACAACTTCATCCAATTCTGTGTTTTTGTTTTTTTGTTTCTGTTTTTATAAATCACTGGGCGCAGTGACGAGATAAGTTCCACCGTGAACATATCGTGCTTCGAGAAGAAAGCCTCCATGAAACAATGACCCCTCTCCATTTCATATGAAACAATTAAAATTGAGACAAAAACAGAACGCACAGACACTTACAAGTGTTTTAAGTGTCTGTCCTTTATTTGCAGTGTCGCGGTTTCAGTCATGTACATGAGTAAAGCTTTTCAGTAAGTCGCATTTTATTTCTTTTTATGCCAATTGTTTTCATTTTTAGTAATTTGACACCACCTTCAGAACAATTTCACAAGTGGCTACCTTAGTCTTAACAAGTGTAAAGTGGAACATCTATAAAGCACTGTTATGCCCCAAAACTCGGTACAGAGCCATAACAGAAAATTCGATGAAACGGCCCTTAGCGATTCGATGAAACGGCGTTTGACGAAATGTCTGCTACCCACTAGTGACAATACGTTACTGCTATATTGTTATTGCTTTTCATTTCTAGAAGACTTCGGGCCCACGAGCATAGGCGTAGACAGAGCCGTATATGTAGAGAGTTTGGTCAATGGGAGGCGCGGGCAGAGCCAGGGCGTGCGCCAGACTCGGAAAGAGGGCTTGGCATGCTCTCTTGACCAACCAGAAGCCGAAAAGAATCCCCTAGCGGTGGTAGCGAGAAACAGTTCTGAGCCGATCGATCATCGAAGGTCTATGTTCGTATATGGTTTTAATAAGTGCGTAAGAGTGAAGTGTAGTAACTCTTTGTGGTTGAAACTAGGGTGTACGTGTTGTTTCATCATGATCATGCAGAAAGATGTAAGAAACGAATGCGCCGCTCAACTCTGTTTTGCGCGGACAGAGTGTGACCGCTCTGACGGCAGATTCCCGGCGCTCGGCGTTTGGCGTAAGGATTATGTCGATCTTTCCGCTAGTCGCACTCTTCCACCATCATTTTAGATGAGTGTGATTGAAACATCACGTGTACCTTATTTTCAGCCATCAAGAGTTACTCCAATGCAGTTATCAGGTTTGTTTCTCGCGACCACCGCCAGGGTATTATTTCCGGCTTCTGGTTGGTCACATTCGAATTTCTGAAGACGCCCTGGAACACGCCCAGTCCGCTTTCGGCCAATGGCGCCGCTTCATTTGTCTCCTCTACTTCCCAACGAATGGCCAAACTCTCTACATATACGGCTCTGGGCGTAGGCTACGGGGTTGCCCTTCCTGGTGAGATCCGAGGGGGGGGGGGGGGGGGGGGGGGGGGGGGGAGGGGCAGAGCGTCTTAGGCTATAATCGTTACTGAGATGCTGTTTACGTGCCATGTAACGAGCTTCTGGTAGTGGCATGTAAACAAAATAACGCACACAGCGACGGACACATGGCGATATACATACGCTGTAAAATGTACCCCCAAAATAAACTACTGATAATTGTCGGTGTAAAGAAAATTGCGCAGAAAAGCGCACCCCCCCCCCCCTCCCCCCCCCCTTTCCCGGAGAACTTCTCAGCCTGCCCCCAGCGGAAAAATGGAAAGCCTACGCCGCTGCCCACGAGAAACGTGGCCACAGCCGTTGCCCTCCCGCCTGCAGGACGTAGTGATTCCAGACGAATACGCCGTGAAGAGGGATGGAGCACCGTTCCTTCTTCACAATGGACCTTTTCCACATACCGACGGCACCATGCGGTGGCTGCACGAACTAAAAATCGAGGAAGTAACCTACCTGCGCTACCAATCGATAATGGGAGCCACGCTACCAGCTTCTTCGCTCTCTGAGCTGCGGCGCGTGCCCAACGGGACTTTAGAGAGACATCCGTGGAGTCCACCCAAAGGTCGTGTTTTTCCTTCTGTCCACTTTCCTAGTACGTGTCCTACTCGCTGATCCACAGCCTCCTTCTGAATTTCCTCGATTTTTTGTTCCGACTTCCACCGCTTGGCATCGGGCGCTCGCGCGTGCGCAGAACGCTTCTCGGAAAAGGTCCATTCCGGTGACTGATGCAGAGCGCTTCATTGTGCTATGTAGCCCAGACATGGTGGCGCTGCTAGGCGCTTCACGGCAGACACGGCTCTGCTTCACGGCAGTGGTTTGCAGATGGAACCTTCAAAGTGGCACCTGCTCTCTTCTATCAGCTATATACAGTCCACTGCAAGGTTAATGGTGCGGATATCCCTGCAGTGTATGTTTTGATGAAGTCTAAAACAGGAGTTGCGTACACTACGCTACTCTCGGTTCTAAAGACCAAGTGTGCCGCTGCTGATCCATCCACCGTTCGACTGGGCTCCGAACAAGCCGCGATTAACAGATTTATAGGGCGTTTCCTTCTTGTCAAGCTCCTGGCTGCTTCTTCCATATGTGCCAATGCACGTACAGGAAGTTGAAGAGCGAGGATCTTCAAGAGTCGTATCGAGTTGACGGCGCATGTTATCTGATGGCACGCATGACCCCACTATTGCTTTCGTACCCGAAGGGGACGTCTTCGATGCCTTCGAGGCGTTATCGAGGGTGCCAGGGTTTCTTCCGGAGTTGCTACCGGTCCTGGATTACTTCCAAAACAATTTCCTGGGACGACTGACAGCCTGCTGACGGGATCCAAGGTTTCCAGCCTCTCTCTGGAACCACCATGCAACCGTACTCCGTGTTGATGCCAAAACAACGAACTCAGCAGAAGCGTGGCACCGAGGGTTTCAGATCCACGTTAAATGTAACCAGCCAAGCCTGTGGAAGTTCCTGGCCATCTTGCAGAGAGAAGACGTCCTGAACATGCACCGCCTCGAGCGTGTCATCATGGGAATTGAAGAACAATCGGCGAAAACATATAGAGACTCCGCTTCTCGGCTTCAAACGCTCGAGGCGCGTTATGCAAGGCTGGGCATCATCGGCTATCTGAAAGGTGTAGCTAACAACGTTTCGTTTTAGCATACTGTACCATTTGGAGATGTTTGTGGTATTAAAACTGTGTGCCTCCACTGGCTTTCATTTGTTTCTCAGCGTCATTGATAAGGATCTTTAATCTCGAATAAAACTTGAGCACCCCTACTACTTTCTGAAGTATTTAGAGTTTGTGCTTGCAACATATATGTATGAATGACAATAGAACTTACAAATGCCCGAGTTCTCACATGTGCAGAGAACACACGCCTTTCCTTCCAGCACAGCACTTAGTGTTTACTTCAGAACTTGAGTAAACAGCTTTAGATATCTATTTGTAAACAAAGATAAACTCGGTTAAAGTGCTATCTTAAATGTGAGTAGATAAAGTGTATCAGCCACTAACTTTTAAATTAGAAAAAAAAAAAAAAAAGCCTTCGGACTTTTTTACAACCAAATTTTCCTAATGCACTGTTCACCGAAATTTTCACTACCGAAATGTGTCCGATACCTAAACAACCACGTATCAAAATGTCCGGTACCGAAACGACCGTGTACCGGGAGATAGACAGGCATCAGGAACACCATTGGCAGGTGACGTGCGACGTCAATTCTGACGAGCACCGACGTCACAGAAAAGTGGAGGAGGCGAGGAGGAAAGTTGTGAATTTGGCTTGGCCGGTGTCCAGACAGACATACGACTGACGACTACCGGACGCTTCAATTTTCACGATTTTTGCAGGAATCGTGTGGCCTGACGATTTTTGTAGTAGCCTGTTTGGACAGGCCTTGAGACGCTTTGAATTGCGATCCGCTTGCGCCTCACACTTTCGAAAGGCTGTGCTAGCGCGTTGCGCCGTTGCTCGTACCGTCCGAAGTGTATCCGACACTTGACAACGATGGTGGATTTCGCTGCCTGCCTCCTCGCTCCTTGCGCTGCGTTATAGACCCTTTCCGAAATTCAGTGCCATTTAGTGGTTCGTAAAGCAGTTTAGGTTTTGCCATAGCAATGGCGGAAATGAACTTGTATCGGCACCGTCACTTTTGCAAGTCAGCGGCACGCCAGGAATTGTTCAGTGTGAGTTCTTTCTCGATCACTTTCAGTTCGATGGCGATCAAGAACCTGCATTTAGAATAAAGCTCCAATCCATTCAGATGCCTCGAGAAAATTCCATAAACCAAAGTGCTTTAAAGCCGATTGTGTGCCGTCCGCAGATTGACTGAATCTGAGTTATTAGAAATAAACGCTTACGTAGCTCTTGTGTTCTAATACTACGTCGCGTCGTACTGACCCCCCGAATGTACAGGCCTCGCATCATCCACTTAGGAGCATCTTCAACGTCTTCCTTTATCAGTCACTAGACGGCCGCCATTGGTATGGCACAGATGTCGTTCCACCATGGAGAATAGAAGGGTACTTCTATTCTCTTCTTCTAACCTCCTTGCGTACTTCTAACCTCCTTGCGTTCCACAGATGATGATAGTAATCAAGGTGGCCAGATTGAATTTCGGAAAGGGCCTTAGTTTGACTGCAATGTACTTGCGTGGACAGGCAGGTTTTGCAATGGCTGAGGTTGCAGCCGCCGACGATGTAAATGCTTGAGGCACCGCCAAGCTCATCGGCGCACTACAAACACGCAACAGATTGTATGTAACTGCCCTGCCTTTTGCACAATACTTCCAGTATAACGTCCTGTTTAGCGGAGCAACTGCAAGTTTAAATTGGGCAGCTACAGAATCGTAATGGTGGAGTGTGAGACTAGCAGCGTAGGCCCAGAAATATCTAAAATGTGCAAACACTCCGCACCAAATTGGCAAATGGGGCATTAAGATGCGTAACGGAATGCAAACTGCACGTCCCTTGCATGAGCGGTTCTTATGGCAAGCAGGGACTCCAATTTGAAGACAGTAAAATTGTATGAATACTTAGGAACAGTCTTCTGATAATATCTCTTTTCCTGGTTCGAGTTTAATGTTGATGTGACGTGGGCAATATTCGTGGGGAGGTGAGAGTTAAATGCTTTTTGTTCACAGTGAGCAGACACACAAGAAAACGAAAGGAATGCCTTAAATATGTAATATTTCCGATTCATGTTGTACAATACAGACGAGGACATTTTCCACCTCTAACAGTCTACACTAGTGTATGAAGCTTTCACAGAAAGCGGAAAAATATTGGAAATCAAAGTTCTGAGACGGTTTTTACACAATGCAAAACAGGATATATTTATGATGTTCTCTATAACAATAACCTCTGTACATATTTAAAACACGCAGGAGAACTGCAGCCCAAACACTAGCCACTGCCAGAAAAAAAAAATGTTCCTGCACTGGGGCTATTGAACTTTTCGCAAACCCCTGTGGTCGTGGTCAAAAATCGTTACTCGACCTGAAACCTATTTTGAACTTGAAAACTGACCAGCTATGTGACAATCTTTTGATTTACCCCGAAACAAACAAACCAACACACAAAGGAGCAACGTGCCTGAGGCACTCGTACATAACCCGACAGAATGTTGTCGACCTATTCCTTTCACACCATCAAATTTGTCATTCTGAGTAGACAACGAGCATACTACCTAGAGTAATGGCAAACTGATGACGTGTGAACAGCTCCTATACTCGAACGACAGGCAGGAAATAAGATGCTGCATTTCGGGGCTTACACAAAGACACATTTTGGCAACAAACTCACACAAGGGACCAAACTCATGCATGTGATGAAATAAATTAGAAGCGGCCCCGCTACGCTTCATCACTGGGACGGCCACAGGAAACGTGTTGTGCACGGCGCGCTTGGAGCGCCGCCTAGCAAAGCTGCTGTTAGGAGTGCTTTTCTCGTACGACTGCCTAAACATGCCACACACACTCTCAAACACTCAGCGATGACAGTAAGTGTATAAATATTGTAAGAACAAATATATCCCAGAAAAATACTGCAAGTAGAGACTCCGACGGGTGGCATTTGTGCAGGCAGGACTCTTAAACAGCTGCAATCGCTATTTCCGGTGGGCAGATGTCGACGCAAGTGCAGCTTTGCGGACACAAAAGCCAAAGAAACCGCGAAAAGAAATGGCCTATACCCAGCGGGCCAAAAAGTGTTTTGTTTGCCAAGCGTTCGGGTTAATAACGCCTTTTAATGTTTAACTGACGTTAGGTGGAACTATGAAAGGAGATTTTAGAATGCAAGTGGACAGCGGGTTATGTTCAATACGGACCGAGGTTCGTTAGAAGCACCCGAAACCAAACGCTTTGGGGGCACTTTTCGATCGAGTTAAATGATGGTAAATAGAGATCCTGCTACAATTCGCATTAACGAGAAACTATGCAGAACGAAAATCAAACAACATGTGGCGAAATATACATACCCTGAGTCAAGATAGGCTTCACATATGCAAGTTTGGACATAAACACACCCCCTTGAATTGGTTATCAGCAGACAAATCAACACTAAACCCAAACAAACCAGAACGTGAAGGGGCACTAATTAAATACAACCTGTTTTAACAAACAAATATGCACCAGGATGAAAAAATAAAGGAGGAATAGAACCGTAATTTGCTCGCACCACGCACAATCCCGCTGGTGCTAAAAAGTGAGACAAAAGCCTCTTTGGGATTCCGTTGGCGACGGCATGAGGACGCTGTCTCCTGGCCAAAGCTACGCAGGCAAGCGCTCGGGGGCACGAGGCACATGAAAGAGCTCATCTGGCAGTTCAACGTATGGCACTTCTGTCGCAAATGTCACCCTGAAAGACTAGTGGTTTCCTTGTGGATACAGGCTCAAAGACACAGCACTTTTACATATACAAGAAGCTCTTGTCCCTCGCTTCTCCATCTGCAATGCCATAAGCAAGGCGCACCTTCTACGTAGCACAACACTTTTGTGGCAAGGACCTCCACAACTTTGCAGAAAAGCGCTTTTTGCGCAAAGGTCCGTTAGGGCGTCTTCGGTCAACGCCAAGGGTCGTTCGTCCGTTTGGCAAAACGGCGACAACTGGTAGAGTACCCAGAACATGTTCGACATTTCCACGGGGGTTGTCACCTGAAGTGGGAGCACCGCACATGAAATCATGAGGCTAACTAACGATAATTAGCGAAGCCGTTTTTGACCATTGTGTTGCAAAGACTTGGGCAGTGCCCCCGGTAATCTATGGTTCAAACACCACTAGCCTCTTAGCCCTTCCCTTTTAAATTTCTTGAAGTGGATGCATATTTTGAAATTTCATCAACGACAACATATGCAAACTTAGACTTGCTAATTATAACACGTCAGAGACGTTTCTCACCACCCACAGTCCGTTTCTCTCACAAAATTTAGTGCCTGCAAGACACTGAGATCTTGGCATTTGCCCAGTCTGCAAAAGTTGCACCTAACAAAATAGTTACACACAATATTATAGTATCTAACAGTAAGGGGTAACAGTAAGTACACCATTTAGACTGTTTAACAATAAAGGTAGCTTAAACTGCCCGGAGTACAATCGATTCCCTAAGCTGAAACCATAATGGCAACCTAAAAGATCTCCCTTTTTTGCTGCCAATAAACCCTTTCCTATCCTATTAGTGTTGTTAAAGGAGATTAGATTTCTATCTGCAATGTACACAAAAACAGTGTGCAAAGCAAAATGTGCGACAAGTATTTGATTTCTTTTATAAAAACGGTAGTATATTTGCACGATAGCCTTAATATCTGGGCTCAATCATTACGTAAACACCTTAAACATTACCTTACAAATAGCAGTGGAGTGTTGCTATCCAACCCAATTGCTTACAGAAGAGTAGAGATGATTGAAATCACAGTACACTCTGCGGCACTATTAGCACAAACAAACAAGCCATCGCGGGTTTTTTCTGTTTTTCTTTCAGTTAGAAGGACTGTCATCAAAATTAAAGTGGTGGAAAGTGTAGTTGTGATACTAACCTAAGTGGTAAAATTTGATGCTTGCCAGCATCCTTTCGAGGTAAAATGCAAAAAAAAATGCCAAAGACGTGTTCGCGCTAATGGTGTCGTGCAGTGTACATATCTTGTTTGGTAAATTCCCTAGGACAGAAGTCTACCAGCTGCTATTTAATTAAGAGCCTAAAAATGGTAAAGAACATGTTTGTTGTAAAAGAAAGTAAAAAAACCAGAGGCAGACTTCAACTTTTCAGACTTCCCTTAACAGAATAAGTGTGATGAAGTATGTACTTGCACAAATATAACAAAGTTTTTCTTTGAAATTACATGCTCCAAAACACATCTCGAGTTATATCTGATATCAAGCTCGGCCACGAGGCGCTTGAGTTGAGCTAAAGCCATCCCTCCGACTGCTCGGGAATGTGGGACACCGGGTTCAAGCCAAGCCAGGCCAAGTCAAGACATAAGCCAAGCCAAGATGGTTGGCCAAGTTTACGTAATCATAAAGCACAAGGTGTGCGTTTATGCAGAGGAAGAGTAGGAAGGGCAAGAAGAATCGTGTATCGCTTCCAGCAGTCTTTGCTCTGGCTGTGCATCTCTTAGTTTCTGCTCGGGGGTGAGCTGGTGTTTGTGCGTTGGTGCTTCTGCCCCCTGCAACCGACTTGACACGCTGGTTCAAGAGGAATGCTTTGTGGACAAAGAGCTCACCCAAAAGAAAAAGAGACTATGGTACAAGCATATTTCGAAGTGGCAAAGTGGCTATAGGAGAAGGAGCTGAGCAGTGACAATGAGTGCAGTCAAGGCAAGGCCACATTTTCCCCCGATTCTCATCCCCACTTTCTGCTATGCCCTTGAGTGCTATAACCTTACAATCACGTTCTAATGGTAATAATTTTTCTTTTTTTAGGAGCTTAAAAATTTGCATTTCGCGATATATTCGTGCAAATACAATATATCAGCACAAACAAAACATAGAGCACCATCGTTAATTCCTTAAGCATTATTCGAGAAAAAATGGAAATCCAAACAATCTTAAATTTGTGTAGGCTATCATGCCCTAGCTATCATAACACATGCAATTGAAAATTTTTTATTTTTTTTTTGCCTAAAATTTTGTATTTATAAAGAGACAGCACTGCTAAGTTCAGACTAAATCAAATTCGTCTGCAACAGTGCGACTGCTTTATGAGCAATTTTAGACAGATTCCTAATTCGAGTAAAATGAGGGGCAAGGTAAGGGAAGACAAGGAAAATAATGTTGAAGTGTGTTTTCACACTTCAGAGTAGTTCCAGTCCCCTCCAGATGGCACCCTAGGAAATTCACTTCCAGGCATTGTGCTCAACTATGATTACCCTTTTTTGCATACATTTTAGATTCCACGATATATATATGTTAGAAATTTCAGGCTTTTAAGTTCAGCAGTCTTCTTTCCTGAACACCGATATCTACATACCAAAGGTGTCCAGTGCCAGATGCTCATTTAGTAAGATGACTGCAAACTCTTTAATCCATGTCAAGCAGCAGATGTACTAATGAATACCCTAAAAATATGGCACAACTTTGCAGAGTTTCATTTATCCCCCATTAGCACCACTTCTAGCACACGGGAGAAAAACCTTCTTGATAGATAATGGGCATCAGATTTGTTTTGCCAAACATAATTAGGTTGAAACACAACGCACGACACATATCTTCTATGTCCTGCCGAGATATAAACCGACACAAAACAAGCCCCGCTAGACTCCAAAGCACGAGAAATTTTTGAGAGCTCATACGACACCATTCTCCAGTGAGAAGCTTCATACTCTCGAGCTTGTTCAAAAACCGAGGTCGAAACTACCCACCCCGGTTAGTCCCGACGCCGACAGCATATTGTTACACGACTTATTGGCAACGCTCGAAACAACTGTGAATGCTTCACGCCCTTTGTCGACACTACTAATGCCAAATGTGCGAACGAAACCTTTCCCAACGCTGAAGGACCGAAACCTACAGTGCACCGCCGAACCATTACGACCCAAGAACCTTCAGTTGTCCGTTGGCGCGCAGCTGCAAAACAAACGTTACAGGAGCCAAGTTGGGCAAGCAGTGACAGAGACGGAACAGACAACACTTTGCTTCGCATCACAACGAGGAGGCGATCCTACGTCACCCGAGCAAAAGAGGTGTGGCCGTCGGCTCCCAAGAGTTCCACCTGGCAACACCGGCCGGCGGTCGTCGAGGAGATCACCGCGCGCTTCCTCGCCGGACGTTTGGCGTCTCTCTTTGTCGGAAGTGCGGTCGCCGAAGCCGGAATTCGGCAATGAAGGAGAAGGCTCCAGAGCCTCGGAGCCTCTCTTCAAGAGAAGAAAGAACGGCGGCTTTTTTGTTCACACGAAAGGTGCCCGGAATTCGTCTTCAACTGGTGCGTTTAGTGTCCTAAACCACACAAGGTTGCCATGTCGTGCTGGCGGATGTCGCGATCCTTGCAGTCGTTCGTAGAATTCCAGGAAAAAGCGTGAGCTAACGCCATGGTCGCCGTTGTGTGTTGCCCCACCTCGTGACTGCTAAAGCTTCTGCGGCCCGTCAAACCGGAGGGCGACTTGTGGTGGAATGGGCGTCCGCCGCACCCACGTTCGTCGCCGCACCACCTCCGCGATCGAAAAAGGCGACGGCGGGACGCTTCTGCGAAGTTGTCGGGCGGAAATCGAGGGACCGCTTTTGATGATGCGGTAAACACACCGGTCGGAGACGCGTTCCGGACTCAATGGCCCGAACCCTGGGCATGCGGCAGGAGAGGAAGACACCGGTGTGGCCGTGGTTCATCCCCGGGAGAGGTCTTCCTTAAGCCAGTGCGGCTGCGGGTGCCTGAGGTTGTTGAGGAGCTTGGAGAGGGCCACATTGTGCGACAGGTAGTAGGCCTTGAGGAACTTCTCAGCACGGACGTCCATGGGCGAGTACAGGCGGCCTTTGCCTTGGCCCAAGCACTTGGTGCGGTTGCTCTGGGACACCACCTTGCAGAAGAAGCCCTTGTGCGGGTCGAACCTGCGGGAATGGGTATGACGTGTGAGAAAAAACGGTGCCGGCCGGGGCAGGGCGAAGCTAGCCAAAGCTTCAAAGCAAGTAATGTTTCAGAATAGCAACACTTTTCGTTATTATTTGTGTTGGGGATACAATGCAGCCCACTTATAATATTATTAAATGCGGAAAATCCGATCGTTATAAGCGATTATCGTTGTATGTGAACTGACCCTGAAAACTGCCCAAAATAGTTCCCCGAAGCAGAAGGTTACTCACCAGTGTTCACTCAATCACACCACAGAAGAAGTGCCGCAATAAAACAAAGTTTTATTGCAGGGTCATCAGCAAGCACGCAATGAAATGGTGTTAAGCACGCTAAAAAAATCGAGGATCTCCGCTTGCTTGCGCGGCAGCTGGAGCTTGACTATCGCGGTGTGCATCGCAGCCAGTTGCTGCGCGTACACTGACGGTAGCCCCATCAGAACGTCACTTTCGTTTTCACTGTTTATATCGTCCACCTGTACAAAGCCTGCCTTCTTGAAACAGTTCTCAATCGTGGTCTGCTTCACTTCATACCACGCGCTGTACACAAAACGCACAGCCTTCAATAAAGTGATCTTGAAATCAGGAGAGCCGCGAATCACAGAGGATTTGCTTTTTCACCTCGAAGGAGATAGCTTTCCGCTTCGTCGGAGCCGCCTTTTACGCCAGCGACGCAGGGAAGAGGAGGGCGGGGAGGGGCAGGCTGGACAGTCGTCAAGGTTATGGGGTTACGGGTGCTGCTATAAAATTTGATTGTTATAACCGATATATCGTTACAAGTGGTATCGTTATAGGTGAACTGCACAGTATTATCTGCTGAGAGGCCAGAAAAAAGGCATGGTCAATGGCAGTGTCCTCTGCCCCTGCCCTGCCTACCTACCCCCCCCCTACCCCTGCCCCTGCCCCTGCCCCTGCCCCTGCCCCCCCCCCCCCCCCCCCCCCACCCCGAAAATTCAGTTCAAGAGCTTAAAAATAAATACACGATATAGATATAAGAAAACAATACAAAACAATAATACAACACTTATCTCATCACGTAGCAGCAGCATCAATAATTCAGAATACACATACTTTCAAATACATAGAAGTATAATCATAAGGCAATATTTATCAAAAAAGTACAAACCTCCAGGTCAATGGTATTTTACCTATCTAGGTTTACAAAATATTTTCCTTTGAGCAACTTAGAGAATATTTTGTAAACCTAGATAGGTAGAATGCCAGTGATCTGGCGGTTTGTTTAATATTTCCAGGATGATTCAGTTTTTTTTTAATTGTGTGTTATGTGCATATATTATCCACCCGTTTTGTACTTCGGCATGAAGTAGCATCTTTTCCTGTACCTCTGTTGTTGTGCCTATGTAGGAGGTCAAGGGCCTTGTCAAGCTGTATTTCACAGCTTTTTCCCTCGAGCTGCACCATCAATGCAGATGGAAATAAACTCATTGTTATTTTATATGTATATTAACCCAATTTTAAACATCATGTGGTGACACTGCAGATACACGAAGGGAACACAGAAATAGACACCAGTTCGTACAGAAAGAAAAATATGAACCAAGGTTACACATATATTAATAACAATAAAGAAGAATTTATATTGTCAAATTAAATTAAGATTATACAGTCAAGCCCGGTTAAATCACACTCCGGTATTTCGAATTATTGTTTATATTGAACAGAACAGTCTTCCCTTTTTAGTCCTTTTGCGCTGTGTATGTGTCATTGTGTATAGTCCAAACATCCCCTTGAAAATCACATGTAATAGTATAGGAACGTTGTTTTTCTGTATTGAACTCCCATGGCAGGGACACTCGGTATAGCGAACTAAAACGGCTGCAGGTCGCTTCTCCGGTGGTCGGGATTGCGTTCGCGGCGGGCACATAGCTCGCGCTGCGGGGCTGGTAGACCGCCAAGCCAGCTTACGCGCACGAAGCTACGCAACAAAATAACAATTGGAAAAAAAAATCCCAAACGTTAGAAAAAGGGGGTGGAGCAGTAGCGCGCGCTCTTTCCTGGAATACCGCTGCCGCTGCGCGACTCCTTAGCCCCAAAATAAAATAAGGAGAAAAAAAAAAGTAAAAAGTCTTAGCAAGTTGAGAGCATCGACAACGGTTGAGTAATCACACTTTGAACGCCATATCTTTGTTTACCTTTCTCTTTCGCCGTGTTTTTGCATTGCCCGTCTTTTTGCTTTTTTTTTTTGTTGCCTGAATTTAGTGAGGTTTCTTTTTTGTTGCTTGCTTAACTTTATTACAAACATCGTGGGGTAAACGCGGACGTGTTTGTGATCTTCACCAACCAAGTTTTACTGTATTTAGCGGCTCTTAGAAGCTCTAGCTATTTGGTAAGGTCCCGTTTGTCGCGGCCTTCGGTATTAGCAGGGACGCGCGGAAATTTCAACTGGAGCTTAAGTTAACATATTTTTGTATATCAAATTATCGATATAGCAAATTATTTTACGATCCCCTTTGAATTCGATATATCCGGGTTCGACTGTATTACCCTAAGAAAGCGAAAACGAAAATGCGATATCACTGCAAACCACTTCAGCCATTTAGCCAGTGCACGACCACTAACCCATGGCACCTTCAATGCGCTTGAAGCGAGTACACGAAAGCAAGCCAGTGAAATGTTCATTCGGATTAAAGGGGGCACGTGCAGGGAAAGAATCTCAGGAGCCCCCTCGGTTCTCTACGCGCTTTGAGCTGAGGTGCACCAACACTGGATTACCGTAGAGACACTACATAGGCTATGCTTCAAACAACGACACTTCAGCAAACTTGGTGCTTTTAGACCATAGACACCACTTGCCCGACGCTTTATCCCAAATTGCAGGAAATGCCTTTCCGTACTCCAAGATTGTTAAAACGGTTTGGGACAGAAGAAAACAATATGGCCAGAGCTGCAGTAGAGTGGAAAGTTGGGCTAGTTGGTAGTTATTCATCTTGGTTTTAAAAGCGCACAAAAGACGAGAACAAAGTAAGAGCGCTCGTCCGTTGTTTGTGTTTCTTACTCTGTCCTCGTCTTTTGTGCGCTTTTAAAACCAAGATGGCCAGAGCTGCCCCATATCCTACCCAGAGCACTGGAAGTTGCATTTTCTCGTTGTAATTATCGCCAGTTGCGCCCGCTCTACGCTAGGCACCAAGATGACAGCACCCACAGGGAAATCGGGGATGGCTCATTTTGTGACTCTTAGTGCAGCCATCTATTCAAATGACCAAGTGCATGTTCCTGAGTCGTAAAATGAATAGTAAAATAAAACTATTTTATGATTCATTTTGAATTCAATTTATATCCAGGTTCAACCATACATTATTTTTAAAGCAGCCTCTGAAAACACACTAGCACGGTTCTAGAGTGGTGAAACTAGAATTTCCACATACAACTTATCTGTGCAATGCACTTTTCACCTCCTTAGCAAAAAGATGGGCACGTGAGACTATTAAGTATTCTATATTTTTCTTGAAAAACCACACACCTAATTAAGTAAAAAAAAAAAAAAAAAGAATGTAACTGATGATTTACCTGAGAGATGCAGTGTAATCAAAGAAGGGTGTGATGCCAAGGAATGTCTGGAGCTTGTTCATGACGCTCACAGGGTCCGACTTCAGTTCCTCCCCGTCGATTATCATCAGCTGCAGAAAGAGCAACCAGCGTCAGTACCAAGAGCAACGAGCTGGCACAAACACAACTGGTAGTGTGTGCTATAGTCTGATGCAACTCAAGAAGGTAGGGCGAGGGTAAGACGGGCCCGGGAGGGGGAAGCAGACGGAACGCTGAAGATGAGAAGCCCCGGCCCATCTTACCCTCGCCCTACCTTCTCGAGTTGCAACGGACCATACACAAAATGTAAGTGACTGCCAGAAAATGTGCTGATGTAAAGCTAGGAACACTTTCTTTGTCAAACTAGAAAGGTTGTGGAATGAAATAGAAGTTTAAAGGCTCCTGCATCTAAATAATGAAGGACATCAGCTTGTCCCAGCTGGAGACATTGAAATACAGTCGCCGACCAATTTTTGGACGCTGATTTTTTGGACATATCCGATTATTCGGACGTTTTTGCCGAACCGTCACTTGCCCCATAGAGTTAATGTATAACATTGACTGATATTTTGGACACCATAAAGCTAATTGCTCGATATTTCGAACATAATTTGTGCGATTTCCTCAGTTTACAGCCACAAAACAGCCGCCGCGATAGTGCAGCGAGCTTAGTTGCCGCCATTTTGGTTGCTTTGATTTTGCCCTGTAGCCTCGATACCATGCCCTACGCAGTAAACAAGCTAGGTTGAGGCTATAGTCGTGTTTTCTGGTTCCACTATAGCCAACATGGCCGCCGTCTGCCTATACTTATGGTTCTTCCAGTTCTCCTCGTGGTCCGTGTTTTTCGAGTGCGACCGCGAGAAGAGCAGCCGTCTGCCGTTCTTGTGGTCTTTAGGCGTGACGGTTTTTTGCCGAAAGGCTTAGTATTTAAGCGAGCTTGGTGGACTAAACGTTGTCTCCAAATAGTGCCAAATGGAGCCAACTTCAACTTCGCTATTTGTGCCCACGAAGGCACAAATTAAAATTGACATTGAGAGAGTGTAAAGTGGCCAATACACAGCGGAATATGCGTGGAAACTTGATATTTTGCCCTGAAATTGATTTTTCGAACCGCTTGATTATTTGGACATTTTCAGGGTCCCCTCCAAGTCCGAAAATTCGGTCGGCGACCATAGTTTTAACTGCCTGGGGATCTCAGATGCACATGCTATCTCAGAAACATGGCACCTACACTGCAATACAATTTTCTCAGAGTGCTGGCACCACAGTCGAGATTTGAAGCTGGCTTGGATCCAAAGCTAACTTTTTGCCAATGCAGACAAAAAAAAAAAAAATCTTTCCGAATGCAGGAAAAAGGAAGGCTCAGGGGAACAACACCGTCCCACAATTTTATATAATGAAATTTTTAGCAATAACCCCAAGAATGTTAATTGCATCTTGCCATTCATGCAGAAAAATGCTTTACTAATCCCCACATCAACAAAATATGTTTGGAAATAAATTAGGTCAAACATACAGTAAAGTTCCGAAAGATCGTCCAGCAAAAGTGAAGAGATAAATGGTAAAAAACATGAGGTGGGCTATCTTTGGGGATGCCACAGCTAAACTTAATCAAAAATGAATGATAAACACCCTGGCACACGCTGAAAACCACGTGACGCGGGAACTGATACTGCGAATTGCGGACACTGCAAATTAGCGTTTCACAATGCAATAAACATGCGGGAATTCGCCACAAACTCCTGTGTAACAGGAAAGGATACCGCAGGTTGCAGACGCAGCATATTCGCGTTTCACCGAGCGAAGGACCCGCGGAAACCCGCCAAGAACTCGCATCCTTCGGGAATGAATACCACAAATCGTGGCCGCAGCAGATTCAAGTTTTATGGTGCAATAAACACGCAGGAACCCACTACAAACTTGCCTGTCACAGGGACCAATACCGCGCGCGCAGATTGCGGATTAAAATGCGGGAATCTGCTACAAACTCGTATGTTACAGGAACAGATGCTGCAGATTGCGAATGCAGTAGAATCATATTTCATGATGCAATATACACGCAGGACAAACTCGCATGGAATCGAGAGAGTGTGCGCAGATCGCAGACAAAAATGCGGGAATCTCCTATAAACCTAATGTCACGGGAACGGATATCGCAAATTGCGAACGCAGCAGATTCGAATTTCACGGTGCAACATAAAGCGGGAACAACTCGCGTGTTACGGGAGCCGATATCGCGCGCGCAGATCGCGGACAATAGAAAATTTTCGTAGATTGTTTTCACCGTCCCGCAATGCTCTACACAACCCGCTATGATACCTGGAACTCTACAGTCAAGGACATCAGTGTGCAGGCAGAGTAGAGGTTTCTTTGTTGCGGATGGCTTAGCAGAGCGGGAAACGAGGTCTACGAAAGCTCCCTAAAAACGCGGGAACCCGCTATGAACTTGCTTGTCAGACGTGCCAGTACAGTAATTCTGTGATTGATGCGATTCTTGTTGGACATCGCGTGATGTCCGATGGAAATCGGGAGGTAAGCAATGCTTCAGGATTTTTATGTTACAGATATTTAGCCAGAAAAACGGGATGGCCGATTTCTCAGGGGCAGCCATTCTCTCAGAACTTTACGGTATGCTTTCTTACACTGTGCGTCAATTCTGACAGCTTGCTAAGCAGATGACCAATATGAATGTAAAAAGCAATTGAAAGTGTCAGAAAAATCTTAAAAAGCTCAACTATCCTCCCCAATCGAACCTAAAGCTAATCCTTTGATGGTCATTGCCACACATCTACGGCGCCGATTACATAATTGTAAGTTCCCACCCAAACTCTTGGGGTACGCACCAGCGTCACCCGGTGCGTGCCCCGAGAGATGCTGGTTTCTGTTTTCCATTATGTCTTTGGGGAACTAAAAACATATTCACATCGTGTTTTGCCTTTCTGGTCTATCTGTGGTTTCGAAATTTGAAGCTTCGTACACGTAATCCACGTAAGATAGTTGCTTCGTATTGCCTGCTCTGGCAGTATAGTGGCGATCAGAAAGCTGGCTCTTTTAATTCAGAATTTTCTACACTTCTGAGAATTGAATTCAGAGGATGACAGCTATCATCCGACGATTCTCCGGTTCAGAGTTTGAGACTGCGCAATGTCGCAGAAGCGGACGTCCCAAAATGAAACCGAATGGAAGCAAGGTGACAACTTTTCCCTTGCAATGTCTCAACTCCGTGCTCTTAATCTGGATACCTTCCAAGCACTGTTTGAGCTTCCATTAAATAATGGTAAACAAAACAAACAAAAAACTCCCATATATTGAATTTTTCCTTGTACTATCTCTTTGGAACAAAAAACAAAACCACTAATGCACATAAAAAAAAAAAAAAATCTTTGAGCAGGTTGTAAGATATTTTTTAGGTACTTTATTTCTGCAAGAGGCCAAGAAAACAACAGGCTACACAAGCCCCACTAAGGGAAAATACCAAATGCTTGCGAGAGGAAAGGTGCAAATAGGAGAGAACAAAAGGCGGAAAAGGCAAAACCCATGGCGGTCTTAAAGGTGAAAAGGACCGCTCTGAAGCACACCTGTTGGGGCGGGTAGTAGGTGAGCCAGCGTTCCAGGTGCTGCGCATACAGGCCCGGGTTGAGGCAGCGGTTGCGAAGCTCCCGCAGCTGCCTGGGGGAGTGGTCGTTGGCAGTGATCACGTCGTAGAAGGTGAAGTTGAGGGCGATCATATCCCCGTGCGACCGTTGGTGCTGACCCCAAAAAAAGAAAGAAAGCTTCATTTAATTCGAGCATGGGTTCCCAAGAACATGGCATTCCCTGAGCATTCTCGAGGGTTCTTTGAGCACTCAGAATTTCCTGACCATGGCTACCTCCAAGTACAATCGAGCCTGGTTATATCACACTCAGGTATTTCGAATTATTGTTTATATCAGACAGTGCAAACAACCCCTTGAAAATCACATGTAATAGTATAGGAGCGTTGCCTTTTTGTATCCAACTCCCATTATGGGGACGCTCAATTTAGCGAACGAAGCCCAGAGGCCTATTGCTTTTTCCACGATCCCATTGGGCTTGTGGCAAGCACATCACTTGGTTGCATCACTTGGTTGCGTAGCTGGCAGGCCGCCAAGCCAGAATACACGCGAGAAGATACACAGCAAAAGAGCAGTTGTGGGAAAAGAGACAATGAACCCCTTAAAAGAAAAAAAAAGTGGAGGATGGCAAAAACAAAGGGAGGGGCATATGCCAGCGTGCCTAGGGAGAGCAGGGAGTGCCTGCTGTTAGAACGGAAGCCTGTGCCCTTTCCCTGAACGCTACTGATGCTGCACGAATTCCTAGCTTCAAAATAATATAAGCAAACAAAAAGTCTTCAGCAAGTCGAGGGTGTTGACAAGAACAGCGTTGCAATCGCATTTTGACCGCCTTATCTTTGTTTACCTTTTTCTTTCACCGTTATTGCCTTGCCAGTTTTTCTTTTTGCTGCCTGAATTTAGGAGCTCTCTTTTTTGTTTCTAGCCAAAAGTTTTTCTAAGGATATATAGGGTGATTTCAGATAAGATCGACCAAAGGGTGGCTGGTCGACATTTTTAAATCAACTGATGTTTTTATATGACATTGTCTAGTGTCTGGTATAAACGAATCCACACTTAGTTTTGACCAGAAAAAAAATTTGGAGACAAGAAAAATCGTAAGGCAGGGAGAGGTGGACAGTTGCAATAACGCGCACTGATGGAGGGGGCAAGTTTGAAAGTGAATAATTAAAACAATAAAATTAGGAGAATTTTAAAACTTTTTACAAACAAACTATGGGTACAACTTGCTTGTAATATAAAGTAATAATATTTATTAAAAATTTATTTAGTTTTCTAAAAATTGCCAAACATGCCTGCTCGAACGACAAATGGCAAACTTTGGAAATCTGTATCTCATGAAATAATTTAATCATTATTACATCACTTGCAGACATTATTTTACTAATATATGGCTATTATTGAAAAAATAAATAAGGTATCTGAGTGACACAATAGTTACAATATATTTAGGCAAACATGGGAAAAAAATCAAACAAAGAAGAATTCCAATGCGAATAAAAAAAAAAACACCACCTTCGATTTTTTTAAAATTTGGGTACCCTGTTATACTCTATTTCGGCATTCATTTCTATTAAAAACATGTTGCACCATTGCACTGTGAAAGAAGAAACAACTCCCCAAAGTAGGGTCCTTTTTCAAAGCCTACACTTAGCAGTGTCCTACACAAGAAGTGACTCTGAGTTCCCGTTTCATGAAACTTGCACAAATCTTTTATATACATTTATTCAGATGAGGTCATTGATAAAAAGAGCGATCGGTCACACAGTAAAAGGGAGGAGAAACTATATACAGCATTTTACATAAGCTTACAAAGTGGTATCATATTAGAGACTAATGATTTGAGAAAAGATGATGCAGTGTGGAGTTGTACCTTCCGGTATATTTTACATCTAGAGTAAAATAAATAACTTTACTTCCACACACAAAAACAAAGATATAATAGTAAGATATTTAGGTTGGCTGTGTATTTACGATTACAAACAATTTCAGGTGATGGATGCCATAGTGCCTAACTGGAGCAGCTTCGATGCTCTCGGTGTATGAATGAATCGTGGCAAGCCGATATATTTTATCCTGCTTGAGGGTAACATTTTGGGATTTTTTTTATAGTGATCAGATAAAAATTATTAGTAACCACCAACCGAAACAGTAGGTTAAATACCCCGTGAAGAAAAATGTGATAAATAAGATGTCCCTGCATTCAAAATGAGCAGTCCTTGGGAAATCAAATTCGGCACTTTACGCTAAGGTTTTCCTCGCTGTACCCATTTAATAAAGTTGCTTCCAAGCAGATCCGACTGTCCGTGCTACATATACGTCACAGGTCCCTTCTGTTGATGACTTGCTGAGCCGCCACGCGTGCCAAGACTGAATGCCAGGGAAGGCGCGCACCGTCAGCCACTCTTCTTTTTTTTGTTCACGATACCGAACAACCTCATTTTCGTCCAGATATACAAGATGCACGCCTTTCAGTTTCTTTGATAGAACGCTCACCATTGTCCTGGCCGTCTGAATTGCGCTTACTGAACGTTCTCTCAGGTTGTTCAGCGTGGCCTGGTGCTTCACGAGTCCGCCAACTCCGTCACATGCATTTTTCCCATGTCCAGATGCAGAAAATAACCACTGGGCTTGTGGGCAATCGTCCTTTGCAAATTGGTGAAGCTGGTAGCGATTCTTGAAATGACTGGCGGCGCCGTCACTTACGTACGTCACGTACGAGTATACCGCAACGTTGTCTTCAACCCACTCCTTCACTTTTTCTAGAGCCAAGCAAGCGTGAGCGGCGTCGTGACACAGGTCCTCACTGATGATGGCAAAGCTGTTTGTAGATTTTCTTGTCGTCACTACACATGTAAATATCGAAACTTGTTTTTTTTTTCCAGTGATATGCTTGCACTTCGTCAGGAAGCACGATGGTCCAGTTTTCAGCAAAGTCAAAATGAAAGACAATGCTCCCGCGTTGCATGCACTGTTTTTCATCGTAGACCGCTTTACCTTGCGTTAGCCGTATATGGTTGTGAAGTACCCAACTTCCAACCGTCACTTGGATGACTTTTAGGAAAGTCTCAGGTTCCTAAGTTTTTTTCACAAGGTCGCCGGACTCCCATGTTGCAAGCACAATCTCTTCATCCTCCGGGATATCAAGTTCCTGGAGTGTAAGAAACTGGCCTTTTGGGCAGTGATCACAGTCTCCTTGAAGGCACAGTTCTGTTGCTGGGTCGCACAGAAATGCCGAGTTCATTTCACCAGTGTTGAATGTTGAGCCTGTAACGTTCTCTAGAGCGGCAATACAAAGATAATAATTGGCGCAGCACACACAAACGCACACTTCCTGGTGTGGAATACATTGGACCCATCTAGGGCGCAACGAATAAAATTTCGTTAGCCCAACGCCGGAATCGGGATGCTTGTCTTTGTATATACGGAAGGCCTCTCGTATTGAGCGTGTCATGAAGCGCTTTGGCACGAACGTTTTCTCTCCGTTGAGCATGACAGAGATGACGTCCTTCTGGTTGGGACTTTGGCGCGAACATTGTAGCTCGTCTTTCGTGAAGTACTCTAGGGCAGCAGACAGGTTCTCAGGGCTCACCTTGCACCTCGTGTAAGGATCCGGCTCATACCACACGCCATGCTTTTCTTTGAGTTTTCGGGATTTACTGATGAGGTACATTGAGGCCTGCGGAATCATCTTTTGAACCTCATTCTTCGTCAGTGTTGACGGCAGGAGTGTAAGCAGTTGACAACGTTCCCGGAGAGAGGTGGCGGTTTCAAAGACCTGCCGAAAGTTGTCCACCCACTCAGTGCATGTGGAGCATGTTGGTTCGGACGACCCCGATGGTGCGTCCCTGTCGTACGCAATACGTAGCCTTGAGCGTATATTCTTGACAGCAACCTGCTCCAGTTCTGTCTGCTTTCTCTTGACATAGGCAGGCCTGTCCCGACTTCTTACGACGCTTGGTTGTCTCAGCGGCGACACATCTGTAGGTAGTATGCTGCGATTTAGATCTTCAATTGCTTCTTCAGCTGGCACAAATATGTCAGGGCACTGCTCTGAGCTTCGCATCAAGATCTCCTTAGCGATGTGCATGAAGCAATGGTAGCACAGGTAGTCCGTCGCACTCACTTTGGTGGAACAGTCAGGCGGAAGAATTTGCTTCAACGAGTTTAGGTCCAACTCGCCAACACTTCGAAAATTCCGCTGCTTTGGTATAGTCTTTTTGTGTTTGCAAAAGTAATCTGCACAAAACACTCGTTCGGAGCTCCAGGACGTCTTCATAATGTATACATAAATAATAGAAATTAAACCCCAACTGATGGCATATAATTGCCAAGTGAAAGAACTACTGGGTGCACAACTGACAAGTCCGAGGCTGAGGAGCTCACTCACTGCAAACATACATTTGAAAAGAGAGGTCACAACTGAGGCTGTCGGCGAAGCTTGATCCACGTCAAAGGAAGAAAGAGGGAAAGTCTCCAGACAAAAAATTGTGGTCAGCGGCCTTCGAAAAAGACTTTCCGGAATCGCACTGTCGTCCCTCCACGCGCTGATATGAAAGCACCCGAGCTTCTACCACGTGGTTCATGACACAGCCTGAACCATGTCGGCGACTGGTTCGCGAGGGGTTGGCGGTGGGGTTACGTTGATGGTCACTCGGATTAGCCCTTGCTGTACTGAGCTACCGCCTGCAGTGCCTTATCGCCGGCTGGTGTCAACAACGAGAACACACACACCCTGTCTACACCAAAACTACAAGCGTTCACCGCACACGCGTCGCCGCCGCTTTTAAGCTTTTGTGAAATTGCTTTCTTTTGCCGCGGAGAACCGCCTTATCTTAACTACGCGCCTGAAATCCTTCCAGGCGGGCGTACACAATATCAAGCGTTTCGAGAAATGCCCGTGGAGTAGAACTATGGGAAAATTCGGAGCCCGCGATGTCGATATCGTCGCCGTTGTGTTAGTACGCCGTCGCGTACTGCAGTCCCCCGTTGGGGGAGGGGGGGGGGGGGGGGGGGGGGCGGTCTTACTACGATAACATGGCGACAGCGTTTACACTCTATGTATTTACGCGAGGCTCGAGTATTTGGGGATAATGCTGCCGGTTGGTGTGCCCCTTTGTGCCTGATATTATCGCCCGTGACGCCAGCGAGTGAGATGG